TCACTAAGAAAGCACCTGAAATATACTTACTCACTCCATGATCTTTTTTTTTTTTTTTTAAACAAGCTATTTGACGTTGGGGACTCAGTTTCCTTATTGTGGGTAATGTTTTTGGAATTCAGTTAGTACATTAACTGACTTAGAACAGTACCTGGCATCTCCTGTGTGTTGATTAAATATTGACTCTACAGCATTATTAAATTTCAAAATATTTCATACATGTTATTTTGCATATCATTAGAAGATAGGTTACGGTTTAGGAATTAGAGCACAGGACAGATTAAATAACATGCATAATGTCAGAAGAAAAATGCCTTTCTCTAATTATGTTTTCTTTGAAGAAAGAGCTTCCCTACTCAAACTCCTGGCTTCACTTTGCTCTTAACTCACTCCATTCCAGGGCAGACAGGGTAACTTACCTGGTTGGTAAATTTGGGACGAATCACTGGGTGAGCTTGGCTCATCTCTGTTCTTCTTTCTTTGGAGAGTAAATATGCTTGTTTTCCCCAGTTTATACTGGGAGTATAAACTGACCAGTTCTGGAGTTTACTTTTAGCCTATTTGTTTGACTGAAAGTGCTAAAGCTTCAGTCTCCAATTGGACTTTTTTTGGACAAAGTTGTTTACTTAGTTTTCTCTGTGCAATCATTGATTTACCTCCAACCTTTCTAACAGAAAACTGAGTTGTTTGTGAAATATCTCTCAGTGTGATCAATTCTGCTTTTTCCCCCCTTTTTTCCTAATTTCCTGACTATTTCATACTCCCACCCCAAACTTTATTGCCTTGATACAAACTGAAATAAAAGAGTACCATGGAAACTGTGATAGACTGTTAACTTTCTCTGTTTCCTTAAAAACAAAACGAATTTTGGGCCTCATTGGTGGCGCAAGGGGTTAAAGACAGCACTAACAAACTATTGACAGCCACTGCAGCACCAGTTCAATCCAGGCAGGCAAGGGAGCTAACCCACAAGGTGCAGCAGACTTCTGTCTCACCCACTGCTCCCCTCAGCAGTGTATTTCAGTAGATCTGCCTGTTCTGCTCCCCACTGTCTCTGGTGAATGCTCTCACCCCACACACACCTCTGGCCTGTACTCCAGTTCTTGTATGCATAAATAAATAAATATTTTTAAAAAATGAGTTTTGATGCATCTCATTCCTGCCTAGATAAAGGTTACATTTGTGTGTACCATGTGACTAAGTTTTGGCTAATGAGATACAAACAGAAATGTATTTTCAGGAATTCTTAAGGGGGAGGTCCACATTCTTTCCCCTCTTCCTCAATCTGTTGTAGAGCAACCCCGATACAAAACGGGGTGCCTGACTGTGGGTCCTCACCCGCACGCTTAAAAGGACTTATCAATGCTCTACTGTTGGCACACGTGAAAGGTTAATGAAAAGGTTTATTTACAAGGGAAGGGGAAATGAGGAAATGTACAGCTCTGGGAGAAAAGTGGGAGACAAAGTTTTAAATGAGTCCTACCCGATCCGCCGATCCCTTTCCCCCTAACAAATCTAGTTACATGAACTTGGTTATAACAGCTGGAGCTCCGGCAGCTTTATTGTACTATGATGAAGTGCTCATAAGAAGGAGGAAGCTGCGAGCTAGAAAGTCTGACTTCCTGATCACTATGTGAGAAAGAGATAAAGTTATCTCTTGCTTAAACCACCTTGTTTTGGTTTTGTTTTGTTTTGCAACTTAAGTAGCTGAAGTAGCCTTGACAAATATAGACAGTCAGCTTCAAGCCTTTCTTCCCTGGTCCTTTCTCTCCAACCAAACTGCAAACCCGAAACCCTTTTAAATGGAAACACTGAAGCCAGGATTTTAACAAGAATTTAAATTTAATTGTAAGGGTAAAAATGATTTATCTTCAAATTTGAAGGCAAAGAACTTCTATAAGATCTACCTAAGAAAAAATAAAAACTCACTACTAAAAGACCCTCTCAAGTATCCTCCTATTATGGTTTTGAAGCATTCACTATACTTTTTAGCTAATTTTTATATCAATTTTTAGGAGTTTTAATGAGTTTTCCTAGTCGAGCTTATAAACCCAAGATTTGTTTTTTGTTTCAATGGAAATACAGCCTTTCATTTCAATAGAAAATTTATTGTAAATTTCAATAAATTTTCTAACAAATATTTATTGCACACTAGCCCTTACATCATTCTTAGGTTTTCTCCTCCTTTGTTTCCTGTGATTTAGGTTGAAATATCAGGCTCTGAATTTGCTCCCTGTATCCACCTATATACTCCCTCTTCACGGAAGAAGAGACCTTTAGATTATGTCCTTTGTCTCTGACATGCCCTGGGTGTTTCCTTTGCTCCTTTCTGATTGCTATCCTTGACCCAGCAAAGACAACACGCTATCAGTCTTCCTTTTTTAAAGACTATTATTTATTAAAAGTCTACTATCTGCTAAATGCTATAATAGATACTTTAAATACTGTCATTATTTCATTAATCTTCATATTGGCATTATTCTCTCCATTCTATGGATGAATCGACTGTGATTCAGGGAAATTAAAACAAACCCAAGATTTGTCTCCAAAGTTCATTTTCTTTATGCTACAGTGTCTCTTTTGTGAAAAATATTTCCATACTTCTATATCATTGTATTCAGGTCCTCCTACTTATCTGACTTCAACTCTACATCTTTTCCTATCCATCCTTCTTCTCTTCACTAGCTATATAGCTAAATATTCCAAAAAGACCAGAATAAATTGTTTACCTTAGAAGAGCTTTTGAGAACACAATTCCAAATGTTAAAGAATAAAATTTTTAATAATGTCAGTATATTACCCCACAAAATAAAATACACAGAAAAATACACTAAAGAAAATGAAAAATAAATAAGGCAGCTCCACCCACTTCAGATCTGAGCGATCACATGAGGAAGACCTACTTGTAAGTAAAACCCCCAATGCCTCTCCTTTCCTAAAGCACATCCACACAGATACAAACCTGAGGATGCCCTTTCTGACCACAGTGCTTATCCCATTCCCCAAGTGCATTAGTATCAATGTTTTACACAACACTAGAATGACTGTCAAATAGTCAAGATTGTCCATCAGGTGTTCCTCAAGGAGATTCTTCTGACAACTCCAGCATGAGATTATGATGTATATATAGAGCACTGTCATGTGCAGGACAGGCACATAACAAATGTTCACCAAAATTAAGGCTGCTCATGACACCACTGTAGCCCAAGATAGCAAATTCACTGGCATCCCTAGAACTTCACAAATAGCTACTAGAGTGACTTATCTTTTTAGAGAGGACACTATGTGACTTGTAAAAAGGATACTAAGTGAATTGTAAAATCACATTAAAAATAATAATATTTCAATTCCTTAATATTTTCCATTCTTTCACAATATGAAATCTCCAAAATCAAGGTCATGTGGATGAACAAATCTTTTAAAATTCAAGAATTTGTATAAGAATAATTCATTGCTAAAGAAATTTGTTTTATCAATAAGTTTTATGTTCTATTTCTAGCTGAGCTATTAAACACCAAAGGGAGGAAGGACAGCAGGAAAGGCTAATTTTGGCACCCTGGAGAAGAGTGATCAACAGCTAACCAATGTGACAAGACCAAAAGTGGAAAGGCATATGGGAAGGAAAGCCTGAAGGCAAACATAAACACATGCAGTTTGCAGCAACATGGATGGAGCTGGAAGGGATCATGCTCAGCGAAATAAGTCAGAAAGAAAAAGAAAAATACCGGATGGTCTCACTCATAGCAGGAATCTAGAAAACCTAAATAAGAGCCCAGGAAAGGGCCTCCCTTATGGCGCAGCGGTTGAGCGCTGGGTTGCAAAGCTGCCTGCAGCCTCTGCAGCGCCGGTTCGATCCCCGGCTACTCCCCGCCTGCTCCCCGGCCACCGGGCGAGGGTCCCACATGGTGCACAGACCTCTCCTGCCGCCCACTGCTCCCCTCAGCAGTGTACTTCGGTCCTTCTGCCTGTTCTGCTCCCCACTCTGGCTCAGTGAATTCTCTCACCCTCCCGCGCTTCTGACTGTACCCAGTGCTTGTATAAATAAATAAAAATCTTAAAAAAAAAAGAGACCAGAAAAAAGACTAATCAATACAAAGTAAAAATCAAAATCAACAAGCAACTATAAACCAGAGACACACGGGGTGGGGGTGGGGAGAGGCAGGGAAAGGAAAGGAAGGACTAGAGTCAAAATAAGGGAGGGAGGTGCAATTGTATGGGGAATATAACCAAAACGAAAATGCATACATTGTGCAAAGATGAAAAAAAAGATGTAAGAATTATATAAAATAAAATATTTAAATAAAAAAATAATAAAATAAAAAATAAAAAAAAACAAATGTGAACTGTGTGGAAGCACATATGGAAAGGAAAGGCTGAAGAAAAACACAAATGTGAACTGTGTTTCACCATATAGTAAGGGCTCCCACTCTGCAGTAACATTTATTATTATACAAACAGTTGGCATGTATCAGGCACAGTTCTAGACCCACATTTAATTAATAGTAGGCACTATTTTTATCCTTATTTTACATTTGGAAAAATCAGAGCAAAAACAGGTTGAGTATGTTCAAAAGTTTCACAGCTAGTGTGTGGCAAAGCTGGGATTCAACCCAGGAACTATTACATAATCATGAATTATGATTTTGCACAGCATACACCAAAGGGCAATGGCTCTCCAACTTGTTTTTAACATTCCCCTGTAGAAATACATGACACATTATGTCAAAACATAAGCAATAGAAACAGAAGTTTTGTGAAATAATCCTACCAGGTAAAGTAAAATCATGTCTTTTCTAGTAATAAAAATTGTTGGCTGCAAGTAATAAGTTGATTGTACAACCCTCCAATGGATTGTACCTCAAATTTTGAAGAACACTGTTTTAGAGGCCTGGCTACAAATAATAACGCAGTATGTCTACTAGGATGTTTGACATCTCAAACAAGTAGATAGTCATCACCATTGATTATTGACAGTGTACAACCAAACTCCTGAATTTCACCTTTCAGTCTTGCTTCTTCCCTTTCCTTCCTCTCTCGGTAAATGACAACTTCATCTTCAGTGTTCCCATGGTGGCGACTAGATTTGTGATGCCTGAGCATGAGGAATGTAGCTATCATAATGAAGACATCCTGCAAGTATAAAATACACACCAGATTTCTAAGACATAGCACAATATATACTAGTTATACCTTGAAATAATGTTTTAGTTTTAGCTGTGGATTTAAATAAAATGTTATTAAAATAAAAATTTTTAACTTTTTTTAATGCACCTATATGTGGCACATTACATTTCTATTGAACAGTGCTGTTCTGGTAGCTCACACCAAAAACCTTGGAATCATCCTTCACTACTTTCTTTCTACCAGAAAATCCTTAAAGTTTTATCTTGAAATAGATCCAATTTTCAAAATTCACTATCTTTACTACCATAGCATCTTTTCTCCAAGACACACACGCACGCATGCGTGCACTGTGTGTTTGAGAGAGAGAAAGATAGTACACAACTTAAGAGCTCTTGCTTGGGCAACTGAAAAAGCTTCCTAACTGGCCTGGTCTTGCTTCCTTCCTCATCACAACCTACAGTTTATTCAGTTATTCTTTATAGAGCTACAGAATGATCCTTTAAAAGGGATGATCTGATTATGTCACACCTCTCTGTTTAAAATCCTCCAATGGTTCTTTTTCCCAAAGTAAAAATTCAAGTGCTGGCAATGAACTACAAAACCTTAGAAACTGGCTGTCCACCCCCTCCATCTCTCTGTCCTAATTACTTACCACTCTCTTCACTCAACAACAGTTGCCCTCCTTGAATTACCAAGTGTGCTGCTACCTCAGCGCTTTTGCACTTTCCTTACTTCTTATGTCTCTCCTTGCTCTCCATTTGGGTTCAAATGTCAATTACCACTAATTTCTTCATTCATTTTAGTGAGACCTGCATACCTCCCCCTCCCGACTCTTCCCCACTTCTCTCTTCTCTGATTTGTATTTTACAACCTTTTTTATCCTCTAATTTACTTATTGAATTTGTTTATTTGTCTCCCACAATACATAGCAGGAGCACTGAGGGAGCAGTGACTTTGCTTCACTGCTGTATTCCTAGCACCTACGTACCTGACAATATGAGGTGCTCAATAAATACTAGTTGATGAATAATGATGCACAGTGGGTTCTTAAACTCCATTCTGGACCATTTGCTACTAGCCATTCTCAGAATTTACTGAAGCGAACACTTCAGATCTTTTCAACCAATTCTTGCACCTATAGTAATTTCACAATTAAAGATTCTTTTGCACCCCCAAACCTTTTGTCCATTTTCTCGTGATTCTTAGCTGTCCTCAAAGTCCTGGAAGTAGGGTTTTCCTTTTCCCTCAGGCATAAAAATCTCCTCTGGTTTCTGCACCAAGTCGCTAATTTCTGACCTAAGATATGTGCAGCCATAGTAATACAGATCTTTAATCTCGGGCAATATTCGCGTCTATGCAGTCTACCTACTTAGGAACAACCAGATGTGATAAACTCAAGCGGTATTAGCACTCTCAGAGTAGACTGGCCACACTTCACTACCCAGTCCTTCTACCCAGTCTGCTCAGGAGGATGTGCCCGCTACCCAGTCTGCTCGGGAGGATGTGCCCACTACCAGGTCTGCTCAGGAGGATGTGCCCACTACCCGGTCTGCTCAGGAGGATGTGCCTGCTACCCAGTCTGTTCGGGAGGATGTGCCCACTACCAGGTCTGCTCAGGAGGATGTCCCACTACCCAGTCTGCTCAGGAGGATGTCCCACTACCCAGTCTGCTCAGGAGGATGTCCCACTACCCGGTCTGCTCAGGAGGATGTCCCACTACCCGGTCTGCTCAGGAGGATGTCCCACTACCCGGTCTGCTCAGGAGGATGTCCCACTACCCGGTCTGCTCAGGAGGATGTCCCACTACCCGGTCTGCTCAGGAGGATGTCCCACTACCCGGTCTGCTCAGGAGGATGTCCCACTACCCAGTCTGCTCAGAAGGATGTCCCACTACCCAGTCTGCTCGGGAGGATGTGCCCACTACCCAGTCTACTCGGGAGGATGTGCCCACCACCCAGTCTACTCGGGAGGATGTGCCCACCACCCAGTCTACTCGGGAGGATGTGCCCACCACCCAGTCTACTCAGGAGGATGTGCCCACCACCCAGTCTACTCAGGAGGATGTGCCCGCCACCCAGTCTACTCGAGAGGATGTGCCCACCACCCAGTCTACTCAGGAGGATGTGCCCACCACCCAGTCTGCTCGGGAGGATGTGCCCTGTCTGTGTTGTTGAAGATGCTGGACCCGAGATACAATATCAGAGACTGTAGCCAGGCCCCTTATTTTAGACCCAGGGAAATCAAGGCTCAGAGAACTTAGGCCAAGGCACCGTAGCCCATGTTTGTGGGGGAAAAAAAACCCAAAAAACAAAGATCAAAAATCGATGGTGGTACAGACACAACACACCAGGGCACCTGCCTTCCAACATTCAGCCCTTCCACAAAACCACCCAGCCGGGCAGCTCCATCTAGCTCGCCGTCTCCTACCCCAGGATTTTGTTTCAACCATGAAATCGCAGGCTGTGGCAGGGAGGCGCCCCCAACTCTGAGGTGCGCCCCCAACTCTGAGGTGCGCCCCCAACTCTGAGGTGCGCCCCGGCCGTCGCGCGCCCCTCGCCTGACGCAGGGCAGCCGTCAGCCTGGGCCGCCGCGGCCTCGCGCCCCCGGGCCGGCGATCCCACTCTCGCGAGACTCGCGGGCGGGCGCGCGGGCCGCGGTCCCGGAAGTGGGGAGGGAGCTGTCCGCGCCCGGCCGGAGGTGGGCGCCGGCGGCCCGCGGGGGTCCTGGGGTTCCCTGGGCACCGGCGCGAGGCGGAGCCACGCAGGAGCCGACTGCCACTCACGCTGCGGCCTCGGCCCCGTCCGATCGCGGCCGCCCCTCCCTTTGCCCTTCAGGGCGCCCGGCCCTGCGTCGGGGCTCCTTTCGGTGCCGGAGCAAGCGATTCATCGTTCCCCTTTTGCTTTCCTTCCCGTGCTCTCCCCGGACTCTGATTTCGGGGCGCCGGGTCCTGCGGTGTCCCCGAGGGCGCACGTATAACTTGATCGGCGTAAGTGCAAGGAATGCCGCTGCCCCCCGGGGGATGCCTTCTTTCTATCTATAGCTCTGTCTGTACATCCTCGGTGGCGGCTGCTATTCCAGGGACAGCAGCTGCTTCCCCCCAGTGTCCTCTCCTCATTGGTGGCTTCTGACCCGAATTTGGGATGGGGAGATCTCCCACCTGTTATCTTGGGGCACACTAATCTCTTGTGAGCAGAAGTGTCATTTGGAGTCTTCAAAATCATTTGGAATTTTTCTGCCCCCAACTCCATGATTTCCAAAATTTACTGTTTTTCTCTGAGAATGCTTTAGGGTTTTTGGTTTTTGTTTGTTTGGTTGTTTTTTTTTGTTTGTTTGTTTTTCATTCTAAGTACCTATAATACAATATTTTTACTTCGATCTTGCTGTGCTCAAAGGGAGAAAAAACTCTCAATTTGTCCTCTCTGGTCTTCATTGTAACATTTGGCTTTTGTCAGTGGTCTGCTAGGGTTAAGGCTCATTTAGAATATGTAAGTTTGGCTGTCAGTCTTAGAGAGTTGAAGAGAATAGTTATTTTCTTTATTTTAATTCCTTTTTGTCTCATAGGGGTAACCCACTGGATTTTGGAGTTCTTTTAATTCTTTTGAAAGAGTTCAAATCCTCTCGAAGCCAAAATGGAGCACAGTAAACAGATTAGAATTCTACTTCTGAACGAAATGGAAAGGCTGGAAAAAACCCTCTTCAGACTTGAGCAAGGTCAGTAGCAAGTTGTTTGCTTAGTTCTGTCTTTTAAATTTTTAATTTGTTGACTGTCATGCTTTTTTAAGACTTTGTTAGATAATTTCTAAGGACCTTTCTAAAACTTGATTTGTGTAAAGTCTGTTCTGTGATCTAAAAATACCACTGATGAAAGCTGATTTTAGTTGAAAACACTTTGTCATGTTAGAATGAAGATAAAATAGTTCACTTTTCTTTTTATGCTAACATCCACTTTAGACAAAGTTTGCCTATTCTATCAGAACAATGACCATATTATTTCTTTCAGCATGTATTATTAAAACTTGATAAAAAATAAAACTTGATAAATTATTTCATATGTAACTTTACATTGGATATACCGATAGTTTTTCTTTTTAATGCCTTTCTTTTCTTCTGCTGAAACTTTGAATTCATAAATACATCACAACAAAATGTAAACTATATGTTTAGCAAAGACTTCCCAAATATGGAGAAAGAAAAAGCTGAATAATGAAGTAACTGATCAGGTTATGTTAACATATTTTTGAGTTGTGATTTTAGAGGCTGAATTATAATTTGATAAAACTAAATAGATCGTTTTCTTAGAATTAAAATGTTTCAACATTGGAAAATACACTTATTAATAAAACTTGTGAGAAAGAAGTCTGATGTATGAAAAATAAAATACAGTCCCCTTTATTGGTGTACCAAATGGACATTGATAGTAGTAAACATTTTGAGGAATATTTTTCCCCAATTATTTCAAGAGTTTAATTTTTGAAAAACAATTTAGCCATCAAATGTGTTATTCCATGCCAAATCTTCATCTTCTTCCAACTTTGACATTTAAGATCACTAAGTACTAACTCCATTTTTGGCTTTCCTGACTCGGCATTTTTCTGGTTTTGATTTTTGTCCTATCCTCTTCAGTATTCTTGTCAACTTTGTGGTGTCTCTTTTCCTTCCATGTTGTAATTAAGTGTGTGTATCAGCAAGGAATCCTTTTTTTTTCCTTCCCTATTCTCCTGCCCTCAAAGATTTATACATTCTTAGAGTCTCAGCTATTGCCTCCATGCTGATGACTCCTTTTAAAGGAAGGGCCTTGAGCTTTGCTTGCCTCCTGGAAGCCAGCCAGTATGATGGCAAGCGTAAAGAACCAGAATTTCCCTGACTCTGCCACTTACAAATTGTTTGACTTTGAGAAATAATTTATTTCTAAGCATTAATGTCTTTTATTTGTGAAAGGAAGGTATTAATTTCTACTTTTTTACTCTCCTGGCTGTTGAGGCTCAAGATTAATAACATGTTTTTAAAGTTCTAAGTAAATATAAAGCATTGATAGATCACATTGCCTACTATTCTTACCCTGGGTTTTTGGCTTCATACCAGTATTAGGTATTGGGATAGCTCCACTTGGATGTGATTAAACCTAACATGTCCAAAACCATCTCCTCTCCTCAGAATTTCTTTATTTCTTGTTTTCCCTATTTGTTATAGTGATGTCTCCATTTTCATAGTTTCCAACCTAGAAACTGCTCTTTGATAATTTCTTTTCTTAAACTCTCTATAAGCCCTATAATTTCTTTCCAAATATCTCTGCTTGCCTGTCTCTCTCTCTCTTCCACATGCCTAAATAGGGATGCTAGAATAATCTTCTTGTGCAATCTCTTTCCTTTTTATTGCTTGATGTCTATAAAATAAAATTTTAACAGCTCTGCGTGGTTTCCAAGACACTATTATGAAATTCCAACTTCTCTAGTCAAGATTGGAATGGAAATAATGAGGAACCCCATTGTTCCCCATTATTAGTGTCCTCCATCTTTATAGTTCCCCTCTATTAATTCCCTCTGTAGTAGCTTTTCTCAAGCTTGCTACATCTCCACTTCTGTCAAATTCCTATATATCTGTTAAGTCCCCTGTCATTTTGTGTATTATCTACCTCTCAAAAAAAATTCTACTTCCTCAATTAAACTTTACTCATTTTTAAAAATCTCCTTTCTTTGCTTTCTGATTTCATAGTGAGTACACAGCAATACTACAGTGTATCAGTGTCCAAAAGAGCTTAAGATCTATGAAGACAGTCTTAAAAAACCTAGTGCAGTGTGTAAAAGCCAATACGTCCTTGCTGACTGGTTAGTAAAACTCCAGTTAAAGCTAGCAAAATTTGAGAATTCAACCAAGCTAGTTGAAGAGGGAACTGTGAAGATTTTAAGGATTATGTGGTTGATTCTAACTCTGGTTACACCAGTAAATGCTTCCAAATGACATAAATAGGAACATGCCAAAAATTATTGTGTGCAGTAATGATGTGATCATGTTATTACAGAAAATAACTGTAATGGGGAAGAAGAATTGAAGAGAAGGGATGTTGAAGATAAGAAATCATTAAGAAGGCTATTTTAAAAATCATGTCTGGTTAAAGCTAAGGGTTTAATTACATCAGTGTTGTAAAAGAGGAGACAGAGTATGAGACATTTTAAAATTCTTGGAACATGGTAATCAATTAAATGTGAGCAAAAATGCTGATGGTTTTTGCTTCCTTCATATTTAGTTGGTCACCAAGTCCTTCTTCATTTTTCTTTCCTTTTTGCTTTTCTCCATGTTCATGTGTATGAATTTCACTTCAAGAAAGAATTTCTTTTCATTTCCAAGGCTATCTAGACCAGGTGATTGTTTTTTCTAGCTTTATCATTGCCTTTCTCATATTCCCTATAAAATTTAGCAGAATAATGAACAAAACCAGTATTTCCTAAACCTGAAATTTTTCTATCTTTTATATAGATTGTTCAATTTTCAATTTTTATAAAAAAGAGGGAGAAGAAAATGTTTGCAATGGTTTCCTGATTAGGAGCTCCAGTTTATATAAATTGGGAGGAGGCAACAAGATAGAAAAATTTAGTTTACAATAATAATTTAATGACTCATTTTAATATGCACATAATCCAACCACATAATCCTTAAAATCTTCACAGTTCCCTCTTCAACTAGCTTGGTTGAATTCGCAAATACAGTAGTTTTCCTGGAAGTAGGAAAAGGAACAAGATAGTCACACCATGTACTAGTTAAGTTAATTTTAGCAAACTGAGCAACTAATTATGGATTCTGACATACACTAGGTGTTCTGATGTTTTATTTACTGTATATAAAAATTTTTATTTTCAATAACTTGACTACAGATCTGTGCCCTTGGGGATGTACACTGATCTACTGAGATATTAAAAGAAAATATAGACTTTATCTTTCTATCTTTCTACCTATTTTAGTTTTTTAAAAGTAATTATATTTTTCTAATATAGTAACTCCTTAGCATCATCAGCAGGTTCTTGGAAACTGACTCTAAGCAAAATGACATGATGAAATCTATTTTACCATAGGATTCTTGATATAAGCAAGAGTTAAGTTCCTACAGAATATTTCTCATCACATGGCCATCCCAAACTTCTCAATAAAGACCCAAAATACTGCTAATATTAAACAATAATTTGCATTTTTTTCATTTCCCAGTCCCCTTATTCTAGTTCAGTGTCTAGGATAGCCTGGCAGCTCAGCTTACATGGCAGAATCAACCTTGGACAGGATGCCTTTCCATTGCCACCTGCATCACACACATGCCACACTCACTCAGAATGGGGCATGTTAGACATACCAGTGAGTGTGCATATCTTTGGAATGTGAAGGGAAATTGGAGAAAACCCATGTAGACAGAAAGAGAATGTGTAAACTCTACAGAGGCAGTGGCTTTGGCCAGGAATTAGGTTTTTTTCCCATCAGCATTATAGCAAAATGATATTATTTGAGAACTTGCCATGTATGAATTGACACTGATACACTTAGTTTGTCGGAGAGTTATAAACAAAAAGATGTGCTCTGAGAAAAGAGTGGAGATTGTAGGTCTGCAAGGGATTGACAGTCACACCAACACTGGTTTGCAGATTGTTGCCATGAATTACACTTTTACCTAAACCAGGTTAAATAAATATGCAGGCTATATTATGTTAAATAGTAGAGGCTGCACTTCGTAATACTTTGTAACAAGAGTAGAGTAACCATAAGTACCTCTTTTACCTCAAGAGTTGTCAGAATTGAAAAAGAGTTAGAAAGTGTTTGAAATTCACTGAGATTTGTCCTTTTTAGGAATGAAACATAGCTTTCAGTGGTCTGTATGTGGGAAATATTTTCAGAAAAAGTAAACACTAACTCTGTGAGGTAAACACAAGTGAGAAAGTTCACTGCTTTTTGTTGAAAATTGATGCTATAGAGCAGAGTTCAGCACATTTTTTCTGTAAAGATTCAGATAGTAGATATTTTCAACTTTTGCAGGCCATCACTTTCTGTTATAGCTATTCAGCTCTGTCACTGTGGTATGAAAACAGCCACAGATAGTACCTAATGGATGGGTGTGGCTGTGTTCCAGTGAAACTTTATTTACAGGAACAGAGTAGGCTATACACAGTTTGCCAACTCTTGCTTTAGCCAAGAGCACTTTGAATGTGTATTTTTAGTAACAATTCCAATATATGATTTTACCCACATAAATGACTCAGTTTTCAGATTATCTGTTGAATAAATATGGAGCATCTATTTAGTGTGTAAAACAATTGTTGTATATCAGGGAAAATCCAAATTTACTGGCCACATTTCAAAAGAATCTTTACATAATTGGTGAATGAGTTTGAAAATTAATATGGTGGAGTCAACATAGCTACCAAGATCTTCTGACATTTTGATTTGGGTATCTTTGGTATTTTTTGTAACTCTGAGGCAACTAAAACTGAATATTAGAATAAATAGAACTTGGAATCTTTGAATTACTTTATCACAAAACATTAAACCAGGGCTTTTAAAAATAGTTCATGTTATCCCATTGCTTTCACTGATGTTATCAATATTAATTTTTAGTGAGCACTAAAGGATCTTTTCTGAATTAATATATAAACGTAGTTATTTAAAATACTGTTTTTCTCTTTTTTTGTTAATAGGTCAGTCATTTACATATCTATATAACTTTGGGAATACGT